TAATGACACCCAGGATTTGGAGGCAGATTTATTTTACACTGATGGGCACTGAATGATCAAGACCATTCCCTGAATATCAGTCCCTGATCACTGGTGGTCTAGGGCTTAGAAGAGTTAAGCAAGCAGGAAGTACAGAGGCAGAATGGCTTGTCAACTGGGGATTGGTTTAATACAGTGTGCATCATAGTGACCAGCTATGCATCACAGTGATCCGCCGTTTGTAAGAGACAGGAACAACTAGAACCACAACAGGAACTAAGAACCTTGGCAAGAAACTGAAGTACACTGGCTGGGGGTGGGGTGTGCATTTTCTGTTACATTACCTTCTTTAAAGAGGGAATAAAAATACTAACAAAGGAACAACCTGACAAATACGACCTTAGCCTGTTAATCAAGTGTACACTGTCACTGAGAAGCTATACTGATAGCATGTGTCAGTGGAAAACATGTAATAAGAAAGGGACTTCACCTCTGTGGTATTTTTTCCCCCAAACCTATAACTCCAAACTAATTCTGAGAAAACCATCCAACTAACCTAAATTGAGGGGCACTCTACAAAATACCTCACCAGTCTTCCTTAAAAATGGCAAGATAACTACAAATAAGGACTGAAAAACAGACCAAAGGAAGCTAAGAGGACATAAGAATTGAATGCAGTAGGGCTCCTGGGATGGTTCTTGGACCAGAATGAGGCCATGAATAGAAAAAGTACTGAAATCTGAATCAAGGCTGGAATTTACTAAGTGCTGTTTTCTGAGTTTAAAAAAAAATGTAATATGATAATATTAGGGAACACTCCACTGGGTAAGGGAACTCTCTTTGCAAAGTTTCTGTAAATGTAAATTATTCCAAAATGAAAAGAATTTTAGAAATAGTGTTGAAAGGAGCGTGAGAAGGGAAGTGGGGAATGTAAGGACCTATGGAAAACTGGGCATTTTGTGGAGGATTTTTCCTCCACAAAATGTTTGCATGTATGTGCCCTGTGGGAGTGTCTCTTTTACTAGTGACATACTGAAAAAGATAGCATACTACAGAAAATCAAATTCTGCCACTGGTTCCCTAAGAAAAGAAGAACACCTCAGTGTCACGTGGAAGGTTACTCTAAAAGGAGGCCTTCATGTGAAAGTAAGCCAGATGTTCAGCTGACATTTAGCAAATCGCCTCAAAGAAAAACATTGTGTAGAGGAACTGTTGAAAAATCTGTCGAGTGACTAATCCCGGGTTGGATTCCAATGGCGGAAATTGGAGCGATCCATTAGGCAGACAAGGCTGTCCATTTCCTCGGAATTATCGACCGTGGCTGTGCCCTTGCTCCGTGAGCAGGTGCCACCTTAGCCGCTCCCCTGCTGGAATTGAGTTAAGTGGAAACATCACAATCAATAAAAGACACTCTATTTTCCATTTGCTCATTGTTTTTTAAGGGATTATTTTGTAACAGCACAAGGAGGATTCAATTCAATATCAATTCACCTTCTGGGAGGGGAGAGGACTCCAGCTATTGACTTCAGTGCCTGATACATTTTGTGATAAGGCTCAGTTTACTAACCTTCTAACCAAAGTGCACCCTCAGTCATGGAGGATGCAGGATAGGAAGGTATTTGCATCACTTCCTGATACTGAAAACCCTATCAGTTCTGCATCTAACTCCATTGGGCATCTACTGGTGGAGATTGATCCTGCCGAGAGTGCTTAGTTGCCCAGGTTTCTCCAGTGTGGGTGTGGGGAACCACTCAGACTGCTTGAAAGCTCAGGGACATCTAAAGCCATCTGACGATGTGACCCCACTTATCTAGCACAAGCACACAGTGGGATGCAGTTATGTAACCAGAGTTTCACACAGGTAAACACACATGTGCTGGTTATGACACTATGTAAGAATGTAAATATGAGATAACAACCTGTATAAGAATTATACAGCAAAGATGTAGGCAGCTCTTGGGCTCTTGCTCTTGCTTTTGTGCTCTTGGGCACCTGCACTCTGCTCTGCTCCATGCTGCCTGCTGTTGTTGCTGATGTCTTGCGTGCATGCATTCTTTAACCTTGGGACCTCACCAGCAAAAGTCTCCTTTGGGCCCCCTGAGAAAGTTGACAGTGGGTTTTTCTTTTTCCTTACTAACTTGATTAGCACCAGTGGTCTGCTGCCATTCATCCATGTCTTTATCTGATAGTGACTTCAGTGACCCTGGTAAAGGAAGTTTGACCTTTATGTTGACCTTACCTATTGTGTTGGAAGTTTGGTTTTTGAATTTGTGATGGTTCCAAGTAGTTGAGTTGGTGAGGCTGATGGTTAGGCTCCACTTAGAAATATCTTTTCATAGTCTTTCTCCCTTTCTGCTCCTGCTTCAGGTGAAACAGGGATGAACCTGAGACGTGGTTTTGTTTGCACAATTGTCCCTTGGTGTGCGCAACTGTTTAGTTCCAAAACCCCCTGCAGAGACTAACACTTGAAGGCATTCAAGTCCATTATATAAAGTGGAATAGTATTTGCATGTAACCTTTGCGTATCTTCCCATATACTTTGATCATCTTTAGGTTAGTTATATCTAATACAATGTAATTACTGTGTAAATAGTTCCTATACTATGTGACTAGTTTAGGAACTATTAACAAGAGAAAGTATCCAAATTTCAATATGTTTTTAAAAAATACTTTCAATTTGCAATCAGTTGAATCTTCAGGTGTAGAACCTACAGATATACAGAGATGATTACACTTATTGTGAACAGACTGTTTTAAAGATAGCTATGGCCATATCCACATGCATCCCTCTGCAATGTGACTTTGCTGATCCCCCCATCAAGAGATGGGCTGTAGTTCTCCACTCCTGGAATGTAGCTTGGCTTTGTACTTTCTTTGGACAATTGGGTTCTAGCAAATGTGATTCAAGGTGAGGCTTGAAAAAGGTATGGTTTTTGCAGCTTCCCTTCTTTACTGCTGAGACAACTGCCCACATCTGAGCACCCCCAGGCCAGTCCTCTAGAGGACAAGAGGCCACAGGACAAAATCCCTGGTTCACCATCCCAGTCAAGCTCCTACGTCTGTAATAAGTTTCTTAGTCCAGCTGGCCCCAACCAGGCCAATTTTCACTAGAACTATCAAATGTACTGAAGAATCATGGGAAATAATAAATGATTCAGTACTTTGTTTAACATTATGTTTTGTTACATAGCAAAAGCTAACTCAAGCAGTAGTCTTTGCTACGATGGATTATCGTCAAATTGTCTGTGTTTCTCCTCATTCAAATTACGCATTAAGAGTCTCAAATCCTAATTCACATCAATGCCAAGATGGAATAATTTGTCCTCAGCGAATCTGCCTCTCTCTGCAAGCCAGAATTAATTGTTCCTCTCTCGATAATTCCACACTGCTGTTATATTTTATATGAACACTTAGGCTATGCATCCTTATACTTTTCTTGCTCATGTCTGTGTTTCTCATGTTCTCTAAACTCTAAAGGACAAGATATATATACTTTCGGTGCCTATCCCAGTCACTTCAGTGTGGTAGACACTGAAGTATTTATTGAAATGAAAGAAATATAAAAAAATCTAGAATTTTTTAAAAATGTAGCAGCATCTTTGTACTGAAGTCTTTTGATGTGTAATATATAACCTGAGAAATAAGAGGAGATTGTAGGAGGGAGGCTACCCCTGCCATTTTTTATAGTCAAGGTTCATAAGGGAATAGATTTAATATAGGACACATAATTTATAGGGTTACTTTATAATATTCACCCAAAAAGTCAAATACAGAAGAGTGTGAGAGATCTGTCATGCACTAAAGTCCCAAAGAATCCAGCTGAGGGCCTGGTTCCCATGGCAGTGTCCCCCACTAGTCCAACCGGAGGCCTAGAGCCCACAACAATGTCATGCAAATCTGTATCAATGATCTGCACTGGGAAGCCCCAAAAACCAGTGGTGGAAGTTAGAAAGTCTGTGCCAGCAGGATAAGGATCTGCCAGCAGCCTGAGGGTTCTGCACTAGAGGATTCTGCACTAGAGGATTCTGCACTAGGAAGCAACACTTAAGGTGAGGACCAGAGTTTCCCTGAAAAGAACCACAACCATCCTCAGTGACAGCGAGGACCCAAGCTCCTCTGATAATGAGAACAGCTGAGCTCATATCAGGAAAGCCAGAGTGACAAGCTTCTCCGGGAGAATCAACAGCATACCATCTTCCCCTCCAGTTCTGCTTTTATGCTGTTGGCAAGAGTCCTCAGGTGGGCCCTCCACACCGAGACCACATGGATTCAGTTTAGTTGGGTTGACCCTTAGTTAATCCACAAAACCATTTTATTACCAATGAAAGGTAAATTAGAGGCTGTGGGTCCTCTGGAAGCCATCATGTTCCTAGCTCTCACTTCCAGAGATAAGCAGCCAACCTTCCCAGTCATTGGCAGTGCTCTACAAGATGATTTCAATGGAGTTTTCATGAACACGTTACCCACCCGTCTCCTACTGACATTTCTACCTATGTTCCTAAATTTCAGGTCTATCTCCCTCCCAGATGTAAGATCATAGTTCCTTTCGATTGGGGCATGGCTTCCATGTCATTTCTAGATTCCTTGTGCCTGGAAGAGTTCTGTAGCTCTAGGTACAGACTCAGAATTCAGTAAGTATTTGCTAGAAGACTAAGCCCTGTGACTCCAGAGGAAAATGGGCATCACTTTTGTCCCTTAGTTGGCATTGAAATTATAATACACCGCAGCTTCAGTAGACCCAGAATGGTGTGTGGACAGAAAGGATAATGAAGCTGCATGGGACATACTAAGCCTGGTGCATATGATCCTGATTTTAATAGGTACGTGCTCGTGTAAGAACAGTCAGAAGCCACTGCTAGAAGGAAGGGTGATTATCACAAGCATTTGCTGCTTGTGTGCTAATTTAACCACCCTCACGATTACAGTGTTTTTGAATGACTTGAAGATAATGTGAACATGACACGTTCTGAAAACTGAATCAGGATTCATTTGACTTTTTGTATTTCTTTTTTCAGAAGCTTTCACAGGCAAAATGCCTTTGAAGATGTTTCTATAAAGAATGTGGTTTTCAGAGTCTCCTGAAGTATGCAGTGCTTTCTGGAAATGCATATCCCTCGTTTCTCTGCCTAACATGGCAGAGTCAGGTCTTGGCTGCAGACCAGTTTAACAACCGCCAGGTGATCTGGATTCAGGTAGTGTTTAGGCTATGCTATAAGTAGGATCTCTCAGTTGCAAGGGAGTTGAAAGACACTCTTTCTTTTAGAAAGATACAGATTGTATCAGAAACCCAGGAAATACTGCATAATCAGGCTCCTGCAAGGGCACCACCAAAGCAGCCCCTGACTTGCCCCAGCTACTATGGACTGAATGCTGAAATCCCAGCAAAATGTGTTGAGACGAATGTAGAAATCCTAACCACTGTGATGCTAATAGGAAGTAGGGCCTTTAAGAAGTAATTTGTTCCTGAGTTCGGTGCCCTGGAGAAGAATGAGATTAGTGTCCTTGTAAAATAGGTCCCAGGGAGCTCTTTTGCCAGGGGAGGATGCCAGGAGATTCTGGTTATGTGCCTCCTGAAAGAGAGCCCTCACCAGAAACCCAGATGCACCCTGAGCTCAGACTTGCCAACCTCCAGCACTGTGAGAAATACATTGTTATTCTACCACTCGGTTCATGGCAGTTTCTTACAGCAGCAGGAGCTACTACCACTGCCCCTCTCACTTTTGTAGATTTTCTCAGTCCCCTAGATTTTTTCGCACAGGTGATCTCTTCCTACTTTTAACCTCTTCCAGTTCAGTCCTCAGGCCCTATGAACTTTAGTCACGCCCGTCATTGCACGCCAGTTCTTCCCCTACAATTTGTGCTGTGCCTTTTTCCTGAGAGAAAATCTAATTGGCTCAGCGCAAACTGTGGAGCCCTGGTACACAGGTCTAGGACCAGGAGCAGCTCTGGAGACCCCTTGCTAGCTGTGTGTCCACTCCAGGCCCAGGCTGGAGTGGTGAGAGGGGTATGGCAGTGGATCTGAGGGTGTCGTGGATCAGGGGCCTCGGAGCCCAAGGGCACTGGTGAGGTGGTCTTATTGATGCTTGGACCCTCATCATTGCAGCCTTGGACTTTCTGACAAAAAAGATGAGGAATGAATCAATCTTACCATAGCACTTTACCTTAAGGAATATTCTCTGCAGGGTAGCCCGTTCATGACACTGATATGGGATATGATGTTTCAGGGATACAAATACCTAAAGGGGAATTTTCAAAATGTTTAAACACTGAGAAACTTTTTTTTCTTTAACTTGGTGTCTTCACACTGATCTAAATCTCCAGTCATTTTTTAACTTGATTATTTTGAGACAGGATCTTGCTAAGTCACCAAGTTGCCCAAGCAGCACTCATTTTTGTGATCCTCCCTCAGCCTCAGAGTGCTGGGATTGCAACCATGCCCACTGAGACTGAAAACCTTACAGCACAAAGACTGGCAAACAAAGAGAACATTTTCCACTAGGAAAATGCTTTTCTTCGGTTTGAATTAAACTCTGAGTGTGCCCAATGTCTTGAGTCTCCTGAAAATCAGTCGTATTAAGTGTCCTCTTAGCCAGCCAAAGTTTTCCACATTGGCTTTGGCTGATTTCAAGTTTTATTGCTCAAAAATCTGTGAGAATATGATTTTCTTGATGGAAATTTACTAAGATCAGTTCTTTTCATACTATAGAAATAAAGGATGCACTCAGAATTGATACCCTTGCTAAAATGCTAGTTATTCTGAATTGTCTCTGTGTGTGTGTGTGTATTTGTGTGTAAAGGTGCAATAAGAAAAGGATAGACTTTGGGATCCAATTTTTCTAAAACTCACTCACTGTCCCCAGGCTAGAAATATTTCATTTTGGACACTGCAGTGAAACTTAAGTAATTACCCATGTTGTGTGTCTGTGTGCTTGACAGCCTTGCCTTCAAAATATTTTGATATGCAACCTTTCTTCTCCGCCTTTGTGTTGTCAGACAACATGCCAGCTGTCAGATGGAGGGAAGCAGGAAACTTTGGCATCACTATTCCAGACACCTTCCCTGCGAAGGCCCTATAAATAGCATAATAGGATAAAACCAGCCACAGAGAGATCGCGGCAGGTGGCACTCGTCCTACCCAGCACTGGAGGAGTAAATGAATTTCAGTGTCTTCATGATACCAAACAACAATAAGATTACAGAGAATGAAGCTTTTGTGATGAGAGAGCCCAACATTTGAAGTAAATAATAATGATGGTGATACTTTTCATTAATATGCAGCTTTCCCCCTTTGAAAGTGGTTTCAGAGAATAAAGAGCCCTGTTTTCGGAACAACCAATTTCCCCTCTTATCCCTGTGAGGAGTCTCTCCTGAAGGCCCCCTTCTCAGAAAGACAAGGTGATACTGATCAGAGCCAGCTGGTGGGTTGAGGGAGTGAAGTCCATTGTTAACTTAAAATGTTGCTATAGAAATACGTTTTGCTAATTATCGCAAAAGGACATCACGGAGGCTTTCATCTGGAATGATTTTAATCATCACTGTGTTTTTCAGCTGGATTATTCCCTGCCCATTCCTTGCCGCTCTCTGTCCCTGCCTCCAAAGCCCATCCTGAACTTCTGCCCTGAACGGTCTCACCCCACCTGGAGCAGGTATGGAGGAACAGTGTGTCTTAGGTCTAATGTTTTCCACCAGATTTTGAATGACCTGAGAATATAGAAGACTTCGCTTCCAACGTGCTCTGAGAGAGTCCAACTTATCTTTGGATTCATAACTGAATATTGTGCCTTAATCGAGGACAACGTGCCCACACATTCCGAACCAGCATGGGAAGAGGGACTCCCACCAACCCCAGGTTAATGCAAAACTCTTGGCATCTCTGACCTGGCATCTGTCCTCTCACTTCCGGCCCCTGTTGGTGTCTTTGCGGGTCCCATCTCTAGTCCCCAGCTTGGCTCCTTTACTTACCCTCAAGCATGGTGGCAAATTGGTCCCACTGTGCCCCAGCTGGAGCTTTGCAGGACTCTAATTTTAATTTTTATTTATCCAAAAGTTGTAGCCCTTTGTCCCTCTGTGTGACTGTCCTGCCACTGGCCAGTCTCCAAGGTCAGGGAGGCAACCACATGCGTGCAATTGTAAATGTTCAACTTTATCTCTTGTAATCAATCAAAACCAAAGCACTGCCCCTCACAATCTGGCCCTGCTGTATATTGCTAGCCTTTCTCTGGTGGTTTCCCTCCATCCTAGGGCCCAGCCCCGCTCTGGTGCTATATATGGTCTGACACCTAATTGAGACTGAAATTACTAACATGAGAGACTCCAAGTTTTAGGAAAATGTGGCTAGCAATCCATGCCCCTCCTTGATTAATTACTGCATTTCCTCACATTTAACTGGAGAGTGACACCAGAGTCTAGGCAGGCATTTGTGACTGCCCCAATGGATGAGATAATGGTGCCACCTCTACTAAGCGTATGTGGATGGCAAAGCACTGCCAACTGCAGTCTCACTGCAGGGGCCCAAGGGGGTCTACTCTGTGCTTCCGCTTGTTGTGTGCACCAGTACAGACAACGAGGCAGGCCAAGTAACTTCCTTCATTTCACAGACCTCGGAACCCAAGGTCAGAGGCTGAATACAGAGCGATTTAAAAGGAAACCAAGAAGTGAACAGAGGTGCTAGTTGTAGAATCTAACTTGGTGTGTTTCTCACAGTACCACCGCCTTTTTCCTGGGCCTCTGTCTCATTTTCCCAGCTGCTTCTGTCACTTGCACTCATGGTCTGCCTTACTGACTGGCATGTCCGTGACTGGCAGGAGGCCCCAGCAGCAGCATCCCCATGGGGGCTTTGGTGAGTTCCTTGTATAAATGCTCTTTTCTTAATATTGTAGGGCCAGGTCAGCATATTATTTTGTTGAAGAGCCAGGCGACAGTTACAGACTTTGTGGGAAAACAAGCAAGATCAAAGATATTATATACAAATTTAGATTGCAAGAAATAAAAGCTAATGTCTGTCAGTTTTCTTATAGAATTTGGAAATGTAATACTTCCTTTGCCCCTCCAGCGACAGGAAATGCAAGCCCAGAACGGATGGATCCTCTAGGCACCTGGGTTCCAGAGTAACGAGAGCCCCCTAGCAACCCAAACTACAGAGCCTGTAATGTGTGTGGGAAAGCTTTGCCAGTGTAAGTCACCTAGATTTGGAGTTCACTGTTACTGCACCATCACCTGGCCCATCTTAACTGCTATGGTCTGGCCAGCCCACAAGGATGAGAGTTAAACAAGGGGGAAAACGCTGTTTGCTGGGAGGAATCCTTGTTGAGGGTGGTTTCCTGGTAGACTATTGCTGGAGACTGTCTCATGCAGCACTTTTGCTGACCTGAAGTCAAGAGTGGTGGTGCACTGGTGAATAGGAAACCAAAGACCACACCTGTCTCCCAGGAGGGTAAACCACTCTCTGCTAGCTGAACAGATCCACATGCTGGGATGAAGGCTCTTGCTTTGTACTCTGCACACATTTACTGAGCACCTCCTGAACACAAGGTTTTGTCAGAGTCTCCACCAGCATCATCAGTCTCTGAAAGCAGAGGAGCAAGTATTCTCTTTGAATTCCAACACACTTTTTTGGCGGTCAAGGAGTCAGAAAGGAGCGACTCCAATTAGCAGCTATTGCATCTCTATGTAGACAATTTTCAAGTCTGTTCTTCTCCAAAAGGTGAGAAGGTGATGTGAGTAGAAGCTTGTTGCCCACCCGGTGAGAAAATGCCTCCCTCCCCATGACACTCATGGGGCAGGCAGCTCATCCCTTCAGTGGGCTGAACTTGGTCAGAAGAAGCCTTTGGCTACTCTCATGACACCCCGTTTATTTTAACCTCTTTGGATTAAAAACTTATTGCTAGTTTAGTGGGCCTGCTCTGCTAGCATGAGCAGCTAATGTGAAAAATCAAAACTGACAGCACATTTAAATCAAACCCCTAACCCAAATTGGGTGTCAGTACATCTCATGAAACAATTTAAATCCCCAGATGGAGAGGCAGAGGGGTGTTCCTGCGCTTGCTGCAGGGCATGTACTGAAGGCAGAACTTTCCAGCTACCGGGAACCAGACGCTGGGGGACCAGTTTAGATTGCAAGGAAGAAAGTAAGTCACCAAGTATGCAAGATGACAGCTGAAGAGGCCCTGAGATAGAAAGACATACTGTCTGAATCCTGCTCCCTACACACTTGAAGCTACTGTAAGATTTGCTGTCCTAAGCGCTATCACCAGAGGATCAGCATTTTCTCCTTTTATGACAAAATAACCGGACCTATTCAGTAAGTGGTTTTGTGAATCTCTGTGAGACTCTTAGTTGAAGCAGGAAATAACAAAACTCATGAAGAAGTGGTCTCTTCAGTCAAGGTGTTTATGACACATCCTGACTTTGACTCACAGAATCTTCAGGAGTTGTGATTTGCAAATGTATTCGATAGAAAAGGAATTTCTGATTTCCAAACCTGTGTTATGAAGTGGGATAGAAATCAGATATGGTCGCTAAATCTGAAGCTAGTCTGACAAGGAGTAAAGAAAACTTCGAGTATCCGTCATTTCTGTTCAAAATAGCTATCTGAACCACAATATCAATACTTTGGGGACAGAAGCAACACCTGGGCATTAGAAGGCAAGAATCTCTCTTTTCTGTGACTGTGAAGAGGCAAGGAAGCATATGTTGCTTTATCAGAAGGAATTCAGTGGTTAGGATAGTGAGAGAAATACATGCACCCTCTATTTCGAGCAAATTTTGAGATAGGGTTAGGACAGTTGCATCGTGTGTAAAACTTTTGGTGTCTTCCAACAGAGAAGTGCCACTTGGTCCCTCCAGCACTGCTTAGCTCGGCTCTGAGCTTTGGAGTTCTGTCATGGGCCTGGCCTGCTCTTTCCTGACTTATTGTTACACCAGGGCTGCCACAGCCAGTTCACGTGGACATTCAACAGCTTTACAAGTACAGCAGACAGCACCTTATTTGGGTGAGCACTGTATGCCTCCTACCTTCATTGTGAGCCTCTGTCACATTCGGTGTAGTGTGGTTATTGGGGCTGGTAGGTTTACAGGAGCAGGCTGGAGGCCCAGGATGACCATTCTTAGTGAACACTTCTAAGATACATTTCAGAAAACTTCCCACTGGGTCCTAGGGACAGGACATCACAGAGCCTACAATGGAAAGGGCCTGATGGCATGTCATTGGGCCATTGTCTTCTCACTAAACTAGTCTTCTGTTTGCAGAGTCCACTAGCCAAACCAGCCATCTGCATAAGAGTTGGCAGTCTTCCTCCTGAGGAATCCTGTCCTACGACACATTCAGCTCAGTGGCCTCACCTGTCTCCCTGAGAAGTGTGTAATTTTACACCAAATTCAGTCTTCCTACTTTTGGGACATTATTAATGAATATAAAAGATCCCACTCACTTCTTCATTTCCGGTATGGTTTTAGCACCCAGAGGACAGCAGACCAAAATGATCCCATTAAAATGGTCAATGACCTATTTTTTTCCCTTTTAATATAGGAGAGGCCCCTCTAATGTGTATTTTTACCCCACTGGATTGCTCCTTTGTGAGCCTCATTATAGATCCTTGACCTTCAGAAAACAAATTAAAGTGTAGGGCCATTTCATGGCATTCGCCTTCGTTCTTGGTGTGCTTTTTGATCTTTGCGAAGTACGAACAGTCTGAGGAGAGTGCTGACGAGGCCAGTGTGGTGGCCCTGATCCCGGCACGGCTGATTAGCCTTGCGTGGAGCAAAGCCATCACAGCGCCTGAAATTGCATTCTGAATGCTAGGGGAACACAGCGCGAGTGTTCGCTCTGGTCACCCAGTGTAGCAGATGACAATGCACATTTCACCCTCACTTTTGAACACCAAACACAAGTGTCAGTGACAGTGATTCAGAAGTGCGGCATGGCGTGTAATGAGATGAACACATTTATGTAACAGGGCGGTTTTAGCTGGCTGAGCAAGACTCAGATGAAAGAGGGGACGCACTGCTCTGGGTTAGGAGAGTGAGTTCCGGAAGCCATTTGAACTGTTTGTCACGTGAGGCAAGGAGCTCTGTAAGATGCTGGCTGGGTACAAGCCAAGGAGCTTCAGGCCTCAGGCGATCAGGCAGGAGGATGAGCTGAGAAGTGGCCAGGCTCCTCCCTGTGTGAGCTCTCTGCCAAGCCAGGACCGCAGGTGCCGGGTCCATGCTGAGACCGTGCCTGTGTTGAGTCACAGGTGTGTGTGAGCCCCTGTGTGTGCATGAAGGGGGTCTCAGAAGGGGATAGGAGTGTTAGAGTCTGTCGGGCAGTGGTTTTGTAGCTAAGGTAGGAAGAGGGAGGATCTGCAGGACAAGCTATGGTGACTGCAGACAACATGTGAGATTTGGCTGTGTATACTGGGGAAGGAAAATCGTTGCTTGCACAGATTTTGGTGGGGGATTTTGAGTCCACAGACATTTGGCTAAAATTTTTATATTTCTCTTTAGGGATTGAACTGTGCCAATTCCCTTTCTGACTTTTGCAAGGCTACTGAATGCTCTAAAAACTTCATGCTTAAGGAGCGTTGACTTTGGCATTTTCTCCCTTGCCCCAAATAAGTGGACTCTGCAGCCATGTCCCCAGTGGAAATGGATCATCTAGCAATGCAGGCTATTGACCTTGAGTTTCAGAGAATGCCTAGCGGCTCCCCAGGAGGGCTGCAGCTAAGCAGACACTTTGCTAAGACCAGAATTGGTTCTTCAAGTTAAAGTTGTGTTAGAAATCAGCTTTGTGGTCCACTCATATGTGTGTGTTTTTAAAGGCAAGATTCACATAACATAAAATGAACCAATTTAAAAATATGCAAGCAGTGACCTTTGGTTGTAATCACAATGTTGTATAACTACTACCTTTATCCAGTTCCAAAACATTTTAATCATTCTCAGATGAGACCCCCTTTCAACTCATTCTCAAATGAGAATGGGGTCTGAATGCCTGATGACTCGGAAAATTGTGGATTTTTTTTTTAATGGGGAGCAATTTTTTGTTTGTTTTGGGTACAAATGTTATACCCTCTTTTAATTCAGTTTAATTTTCCAAATCTGTTGTTAAATGTATATGCCGTGCTCCATCTACCATGTGCAGGCCCAGTTAGGAGGTCATGTACGAAGATCCCCTGAAAGAATGCGGACAGGTGTCTCTCCAAAGCCTCCTAGCTGATTCACTGAGCCTCTTCTAGCATATTTGGGAATTACTAGTTAAGCAGTAGTTTAGAATCAAGTCAAGTCTGAAGTAACAATCTGAGCCCTGTTACTAACCGTGTGACCTTGGCTCGGGTGGCTAAAATTTTTCTGAACCTTGGTTTTCTCGTCTGTAAAATAAGGATAATATCCACATCATAAAGTTATTGTGGAAATTAGATGCCTGACACACAGGGAGTGCTGAGTAAATGCTAGCTTTTTGAAAAAGGGACAAGAACAACAAACAGGGAAGCAGATGTTTGGGACGTGCCTTTTTCTGGCATTTCATCCTCACGGCACATTTGGCTTAAGCTCCTGCCTCTGGGAGTGGAGTGAAACAGCCATATTTGGAAGCTGGCACAGCAGACATCTATTGCTGAGCCCTGTTGTACGCTGCCAGAGATCATCTCTCGATTTAATGCAAGATCAGTTTTGGTATCAAGCGATGCTGCGATGAACAGTAACGGGAGAGAAATCAGAGAAACAGGCCTGGGGGATTTGGGAAAGGGCTGTGTGCTCTGAACGTGACTCGCTCAGTAAGCCCAGGGCTTTGAAATAGATCCCTCCCCATGGGAAAATGACACCAGTTGAACAGGCAGGACCGTGCTGCCTGAGGAAATGCTCCAACTCATGCAACTGAGTGGAATCCCCCTTGACCTGCTGCTAGGGAACCAGTTCTGTGCAGGTCCTGAGGACTTGTTTCATCTGCTATCACCCAGGTTGGAGTACAATCTGGAGTCCATTAGCCTTGCCAGGAGATAGATCCAGCCTCACCAGTTGGTAATTTGTTCAGTGAATGGTTGAACATCTATGCTATTTATTGTAATGGCATCTGGAAATAATACACGGTTCCAGCCTTTGTGGATGTCCAGTCCCAAGTGGCCATTCCCTGCATGTCCTGTGCCCCTCTCGTCTCTCAAGGTGTCCTACCCACCAGAAAAGTATCCCTTGGCCAACAGAGAAAAGCTGCATAGAATGTAACTCTGGAAGAGTTCTAGTTCTTATTAGCATTTAAAACCTCTGGCTTGCAAAAATGAAAAAAGAAAGAAACAGCCTGACTTAGTGTTAACTCAGCCTAACTCATACTTATTTAAACATGAAATCTTTTTTGCCATTTAACACTTCCTGACATCTCCTGGAGTCTGTGTCCCCCGCTGGTCTAGAGGAAATCTGTCATGATAAGATGTAGGATTTCTAGACCAAGACTCATAAACAAAACTATTCAAAAGATGTATTTCAGATACAGATACAGATCCTTGTAGAGCCTTCGGAGGCTTTGGAATCTGGCACTGGTTTTAAAAAACCTTGTAGAAGAGAAAATACCACTGGGATGTTTCCTTAGCCAGATAGGTAGGTAGGAGAGGCTGGTTGGGGTAGGAGTCTATTCACACCCACTGTCAGATTGTGGGGTGCTCTACTGTAGTAGTCCCCAACCTTTTAGGCACCAGCAACTGATTTCATGAAAAATAATGTTTCCACTGACGGGATGGGTGGAGCTCGGGCATAAATACTTGTGGTGGAGAGACGGTTTGAATACAGATGAAGCTTGTACCTGTCCGTGGCCCAGGGCCTGGGGACTCCTGCTCTAGTGAATGGGGAACCCATAACCCTCAGCTCCAGCCAGTTGCTTCTGTGTGGTGCGAATGTGAATTAGGCCATCAGGGGTTTCGTAGGAGGATATGAAAACCTTGATTTTTTAAGTAGGAAATTTCACAGCTTTAATTTGTTCATTTCACATATAAAAACCCTGTGATAGCCTACATAAACAAAGCAAACAAAAACATCAGCAACAAACACATGTACAGACAGTTGATGGTTTCTTTCTCCTTGGTACACTTTCTTCATTTAGGTTCCAGGCCAACACAAGCCCTTGGTTTTCTTTCTGTCTTTTTCATCCTCTTTGCTGTTCTTCTTTTTTGGTTGGAAATGTTGAAAAGCCCCAGGATGTAGTCCTCCATCCTGACTTCTTCTCCGTAGTCACTTATTTCCTTAGGGATCTCCTGTAGCCTCATGCCGTTAAAAGTTCTTTATATGCTGAGGGTGAACACATTTATTTTTCAGCTTGATTCTCCTCTCTACTCCCTGGATTTGGATGTCCAGGTCCCTGTCATCTCTTGTCTAGCTGAGATCTTGAACCCAGTCTGTATCTCCCCAAACTTTCACATGCAACCTTCTTGACTATGACCTTAGCACTGGCTGTGATGGGCTGCAGCTACACCTCTAATGGGCCAGGCTTCTGTTCCTATAATGAAACATCTGAGATAGCTAACTAATGAAGAGAAAGGGTTTGGGTTGGTTCAGTTAGGAAGTTCCAGTCTGTGACTAGTGGCTTCATTGCATTTAGGTCTGCTGTGGACATGGTGGACAAAAATGGCAGGGAGCCTGTGGCAAAGGAAACTTCTGGCACTATGGCCAAGAAGGAACCTAGGTCCCACAATTCCCTCTGAGGACACACTTCCAAATGATCTAAGGATCTACTGGGCATACCTCTTATGATTTAACCACCTCTAAGTAGAATCACCGTAGGGATCATGTCTTTAACACATGGGCTTTGGAGAACATTCATTATCCAAACTATAGCATTCCCTTTTTCCCTTCAAGTCTTGCTTTAAATATTTCCTGTTCAAGCAGACCTATCATGACCACCCTTACCTCTTCCAATAGCATTTATCTTCTAACATCTACCATATTCTTATGCATTCAGGGTTATTATTCAACATCTAACTCCTCGTGGTAGAATACATGCTCTGTGTGGATGGCGACCCTTCTCTGATTTATTCATTCTTGTGCTCTTAAAGTCCATATCAAGCATGTAGTAGATGCCTCATAAATATTTGTTGAATGAAATTCAGTTGCTTCTTGTCAAAAAATTCTAGAGAAGACATGCTTTAAAGCTCAAGCAGTTGTGCTGTCCTGGTTGCCTCAGTGACCTGAATAAATTCAAAATGTTTTACCTTTTATTGTGATTTTCACTTTGGGGAAGTCCTGGAAATTACATGGTACCAAATCTGGTTAATAACGTACGTGAGGACCCATCACCTTGCTCCTGTTGCACTGCACCTAGCAGCAGCATCCGTCATGTTTCTAATTACATCTCATAAAAACATTGGTGAAAGAGGATTTTCAGAACTGCTTCAGAAAGCATGCTGGGATAATGTGCTCAAAGTGTAATAAGTGTGTTCAAAGTAGGATAGAGTATTTTGAGGGGAATTAAAGTTAATGTATCTTTTACTGTAATAACTTTTAAAATTTAAACATTTTGATCACACTTCAGATCATAGTTCAAGCGTTAATTGCCCATTAATTGCACTGGACCACAAAACATTGTATGTAAAAAAATATCTGTGCATATAAAAAACATCTTCAAGACATATTTGG